GGGTTGCTATAACAACAACAAAATCCCCATAGACTGAGTGGCTTAAACAATAGACATTTAATATCTTCCAGTTCTGGAGGCTGGAAGTATGAGATCAGAATGCCAGCATGGTCAGGTTCTAGTGAGAACTCTCTTCCTGTAAGGTCACTAAACCCACCATGAGGGCACCTCCCTCATGACCTCAACTAAATGCAATTACCTCACAAAGGCACCAACCCCAAAAACCATAACATCAGGAGTTAGGGCTTCAACATATGGATTTTGGGGGAACACACTTCAATCACAGTGAACATAAACCTCTTGAAATCCTTTGTTATTTAAACAAATACAGAAAGGAAATTAATAAAATAATTCATCTATTCATATATGAATAAATGGTACAGATTATTCTATTTTCTCTAAGCACATATATCAGGGGAAGGCTTATTAGAAAATAAATTTTACAGTATATAACATTTCACAAAAATTTACGTTTGATATCTACCAGCTAATTTCTTATATATAATTATTTAATACCTAATACAAAACATTCGGAAGATTTTCTAAAAGGTGGTTTTATAGCTAAAGCTGCATTTTCTTTTATAATATGGATTCTGGTAGTTTGCTTCTATGAGTTAATGTTGTTTAAATCTACATGATGACACATATGTGTCTATAAAGGAGTTTTCACAGTCATAATACAATTAAGTAATGTTACTGGAATAAAAGAAGATGACATTTACATCTTGTTCTTAAGATTTGTGACTCATTTTTCACACTTTTCAGACGAATTATGAGTAAGTCTCTTGAGTCAGAAAACTGAGCATTCAAACTGGAAAAGCTAGTCAATATTATAAGCTTTAACATTTCTATTCCTTGATGTTCACTTTTATAATAGAGAACTGAATGTTAGAAAAAGAAAACACGTTTTAATTAGAAGTTAATGTTAAGAGAATTCACCTTAAATGCATTTTACTTTGTTGAATTTAATAATAATTGAAGTGCATTGTCTAATAGTAGGTTCTCTATACATCTAAAAATGTTATATAGCTATTACACTTTACCATATTTTCTAAAAGATTTTATTTATTTATTTTGAGAGAGAGAGTGAGCAAGCAGGAGGAAGGGCAGAGGCAGAGGGAGACTGAGGATCCCAAACAGGCTCCACACTGGGTGTGGGGCTCCATTTCACAACCTGAGATCATGATCTGATCTGAAATCAAGAGTCAGACACTTAACCAACTGGAGCCACCCAAGCACCCCTTCCATAATATACATTACAGAAACAACTGTTATGTTGGCAGTAGGTTTTATTAATTTGAATAGGGAATGGTTTTTAGTCTATTAGTCTGTCAACCACAAATACATTATCAATAAAAGTCTTACAGATACTATTATTTGTTGGTATATTTTCCCGTTTAAAACCAACATAAAAAAAAGTTTTACTGAGATATAATTCACATACCACACTATTCATTCATTTAAAGTATAAATTTTCAGTGTCTTTTAGTATATTCACAGATATGTTCAACCATCATCACAGTGAATTTTAGAATATTATCATCACTTTAAGAAACCCAATCACTACCATGTTCTTTTCCCCCAGCCCAGAGCAAACACTAATCTACTTTCTGTCTCTATAGATTTGCCTATTCTGGATATCTCATATATATGGAATCATATGTTCTCTTTTCTGACTTGCTTCTTTTACTAAATATAATATTTTTAAGTTTCATCCATGTTGTAACATGTATCAATACTTCATTACTTTTTGTGGTTTAATAATATTCTACTGTATGCATATACCACAATTTATCCTTTCATCAGCTAATGGACATTTAGGTTGTTTCCACCTTCTGGTTATTACCAATAATGCTGCTATGAACAATACTGCCTTATTATTTACTATCATGGTGCAGAGCCTTACGGTAAGACAGAGGCAAGTGCCTAGGCTTTCTCATTTCCTTCCTGAGTATTCACAAAGCTGTGTGAATGCATGTGTCCTCCAGATTCCCAGGAATATGTCAGGGCCTTTCAAAACTTTTATGGACATCTCATTCCACAGCTTTTACTTTTAAGCTATTTGGTTAATATATTATTTGACCTAAACTAGAATCTATCACCTCAGGCAGCCTGAAGTTAAAACGCTTGCTTGTAATTGTTTTGACAGTCTCATCCACCCACCTCACCCACCAAGAAGGCTGCTCACAATGATTGAGATCAGAGGCATGTTTTCAACTGGGGTCTTCAAGGAAAGCATCAGACAGGTCAAATGATGACAACTATTTGGGAATCAGGCTTTCCAGGAGCTATAGTTCCATTCAGCTTCTTCTGGTAGTTGCCAGGCTGCATAGGGAACATGGACCATCTTTATTCCCAGGCTACTGCAGAGCTGGGATTATGGAGAATGGGACCAAGGCAAATTATAATGCCACAAAGTTTCCTGTTCTTATTTAGACTCAGCTATTTTTCTTGAATAATATTTCCTAGATTGTTGCAGTCTTTGGTTCATTTCTAGAATTTCCTAGAGGAATGATAAGTGTTCCCCAATGTACATGGAGAGTCTCAAAAATGTTTTATAGTTTTCATGTAAAATGCTTTTATTTGATCTTCGATCTTTTTAAAGATAGGAATTTATGGCTTAGGAAACTTGTAACTCCCTTGATCCATCAATTGTCTTAGAATTATTACATTGATTCTTTCTTAGGAGATTAGGTTCTGTACAAAGGGTTATGAAGATGTTGATTCCCAATAATGTTTGCTTGTTTCTTCATTTCTTCTATGGAGGAAAAAAATCTTCAAAATCCTTATGCTAATAGTGATATATGCTACAACATGGATGAACTTTTAAACATTATGTGAAGTGAAAGAACCCAGACACAAAAAGCCACATATTGTAAGATTCCATCTATATGAAATGTCTGGATAGGCAAATCTTGAAAGGGAGCAGATTCTGTCACCCCCAAATTATGTCTCTTTGATATAAGGATTATTTTGAGCTAAAGGCAACCAATTCCCAGCAGATTCAAGAAAAGCTCTTTATCCATTCCCTTCAATTGCCTAAATTTACATTGGAAACCAGGCCTGTACCAGGAAAAGAGGTATTACCAGAAATACCTTTTTACCTAAGAAATTATTTTTTTAAAGATTTTATTTATTTATTTTAGAGAAAGAGAGAGTGGAAGGAGGGTTAGAGGGAGAGAATCTCAAGCAGACTCTGTGCTGAGCATGGAGCCTGATGTGGGGCTAAGCTCATGACCCTGAGACCATGACCTGAGCCAAAACCAAGAGTTGGACACAACCAACTGAGCCATCCAAGCATCTCCCTTTTTACCTAAGAACTTTATCTGCATAACAGAACAACCTTTGTTTTCCAAACATCTCCTCTAGCCTTCCGGTGAAAGGCCTTCCTCCCTTTGTGTCCCAGACCCCCACCCCTTTCCTTAGCTCAGGATGTTATATAAGCTTCAATTATCTAGCGGCTTTTGGGTCTCATATTTTTATGGGGCTCTCATAAATATGAAATTAAATTTGTTTTTCTCTGGTTAATCTGTCTTACGATCATTTAATTATTAGACAAGCCAAATAACCTAGAAGGGAAGTAGGATAAATTTTTCTGTCCCTACAATCTATATAGAGTATAGATTAGTAGTTGCCTAGAGTTGGCAGAGATGGGGAAGGATCATAGATAAAGGGTACAGGGTCCCTTTATGAAGTTATGAAAATGTTCTAAAATTGATTTTAGTGATACTTGCACAATTTTGTCTATATTGTAACAACCATTGCACTAAATAAGGAATTATATGGTATGTGAATTATATCTCAATAAAGTTATTATAAAAAAATTAATAGTGGGTGATTTAAATACTTCACACTCAACAACTGATAGAACTAGACAGAACATCAACAAGAATATAGAAGAGCTGAACATCATTATTAACCAACTAGACTCAATAGATATATATAGAACATTCAATCCAACAGCAGCAGAATACACATTCTTCTCAAGTGCACATGGGATATTCTGGAGTATCTACTATCTGTTAGTCCAGAAAACAAGTCTTAATAAATTTTTAAAATCCAGATCATAGAATGTAACTTTCAGAGACTGTTTGGAACATGGGTCAGATTTGGTTATAAGGCTACTTTGGGAAGGAAGCCAGAACACAGTTCTTATTAGTACAACTATCAAAATAGTAATCCTTTATAATTAAAACATTTACTGAGTATTGCTTGAATCAAAGCACTAGATAATAGAAGTAGAGAATTTAAGCATAATGTAAAATTATGTATGATAGTCATTTAAAAATTATTTTCCAAAATGATAAATTCTGTGTAAGACAAATTTTTAACAAACCATTTTTTTATACAAGCAAATACCTTTAAGAATGGAGACTTAACAAACTGAGGGTTCTAGAGGGTAGGGGGGGTGGAGAGATGGGTTAGCCCAGTGATGGGTATTAAAGAGGGCACATACTGAATGGAGCACTGGGTGTTATATGCAAACAATGAATCATGGAGCACTACATCAAAAACTAATGATGTAATGTATGGTGATTAACATAACATAATAAAAAAAATATTTAAAGAAAAAAAAGAATGGAGACTTAAAGAACAATCTTTCCCTTTTCATTTACTTTAAGATTAAATTATGATAACCAGCAATGTCATAATGTGTCTAAAAACTGCTGCAGAAAACTCAATTCACCTGAGTTTAACAAAAGCACAGATAAGTTATAGGAACATATTAAAATAGATATTTATGTTAAAATCTTCACGTTATACTAGTATTTGCAAAGAGGAACTGAGGCAATTACTATTTAATAATTTGATTTATAATGAGAAATTCAAAGTTTTAGACATGGGCAAATGGGCAACATAAATGCATTTATGAAGCCTGTTCTTAAAGTCCAAGTTAAAACACAATAAAGAAAACAAATATGAACCAAACCATACATGTAAAACAAAATATCCACCCTTATAATATAGTCTATTATAATCAATTTTTAAAGTTCCTTTACCTTTATTGTCTGTCTGCTTGTCTGATATCGTTGATTAGATATTTGCTGTTGCTGAAGGAGTTTTTCATTGATTTCTTTATATTCTTTGACAGACAATTCTGCTGTTTTTTTGGCATTCTGAAGTACACTGTTTTGTTGTTGTAAGGATACAATACGTTCTCGTAATAAAATAATATTGCTACTTGATTTCTGGGCAGTTATATTTTTCCACTTTTCTCTGTTAACTATAAAAATAATGTTTATAACATTTTTTTAAAACTACAGTAAATTAAAAAGATATTGTTAATTTCATATACATTCTTACCTCTGGTAGGAACTGTTGTATGTGAACTCTTTTGTATATTACCATTCTTCTTTTGAAAAGTTGGTTTTTTGGCATTCTTGTAATGAAAATAGTTCTAAATTTGAAGGTTTTATAAAAATTAGATTATTACTCAATAATGACTTCAAGTGAATGAACATAATAAATAATATTATTTCTTTACCTAAAAATATATTTATCTATGCAGACTAAAAAAATTTAAACAATAAAATTCTATAACTAATACCAAGAACTCATAAATGAATATAATATGTGCATTAAAGTTGAACTAGAAAAAAAAGAAGTTGACCTAGCAGGCACAACATACAAATATAAAATCAACCCCAAAGTGGCAGAAATTTAACCTATGGCCAGCTTAAAAATCTAGGAGGAAATATAATAAAATAAAAATAAAATAAGAATATTTAATAACTTATGGCTCTATATATCATTATATATGTATACATATATATACATATATATGTATATGTATACATATATATATACTGAAAAATACTGAAAATATATAAAGCACTATATGGTTTCAATGAGTCCTGATATTACTTCATTCCTCAAAATATTTTTGAAATACCTCATTTGAACTTCTTTAGAACCAGTATATAAGATATATTTTTAAAAAATGTTTCATTGCTTTATGAGGATTCAAGTGCCAGTCATGTACAAAGCACTATAAAAATATCCCAAACAAAACTACCAAATTACCAATATTAGTCACCAGACTTGGGATCAAATTAAATGGACCTAAAATAAAAAAGAATGGGCTTCCATTTCCAGGATTATTTCTGACTAGATATTCAGAAAAATTCTTTTTTTTTTTTTTAAGATTTTATGTATTTAGAGAGAGAGAGAGCGTGCACACACAAGTGGGGGGAATGGGCAGAGGAAGAGAGAGAGAGAGAGAGAATCTTAAGCAGACTTTGAGCTGAGTGTGGAGCCTGAGGCGGGGCTTGATCTCACCATCATGAGATCACTACTTGAGTTGAAACCAACAGTCTGATGCTCAACTGACTGAGCCACTCAGATGCCCCCATAGAAATTCAGGAAAATCTTAAACATTGAAATCAGCACACTTATTTTTTTTTAACATGGCAAAACATTAAAGGAAATTCTGATGCCACAAATGAGGTGGAAGCACGAATCCAGAGACACACGTGACCAACAAAGTGGCCAACAAAATACAGGACAATGGATCATCTCCTCTGAACTTGAAATTCCATGTATATAGCAATACAGAACATAAAAGGCAAGGAAAGATGGCCTGGGCCCCCAACTCAAGATGAGAAACTTGAAGTTACAAATCTAGGATATAGTGTTTGTCAATAGTTTGTCTCTCTCTTTTTTTTTTGCTGAGTAGTATTACATAGAATGGATATATCACAGTTTAACCATTCAGCTATTGAAGGGAATTCTGGTTGCTGCCAGTTTTCAGCTATTAGAAATAAAGTTGTTATGACCATTCATGTACAGGTTTTTTGGGTAAACATAAATTTCCATTTCTCTGGGATAAGTGTCCAAGAGGCAAATAGGTGGGTTGTATGATAAATGTATGATTAGCTCCTTTTTTCTTTTTAAAGATTTTATTTATTTATTTGTCAGAGAGAGAGAGAGAGCACAAGTAGGTGGAACAGCAGGCAAAGGGAGAAGCAGGCTCCCCATGGAGCAAGGAGCCCAATGCAGTACATGATCCCAGGATCCCAGGATCATGACCTGAGCGAAGGCAGATGCTTAACCAACTGAGCCACTCTGGTGTCCCATTTTTGTTTGTTTGTTTGTTTTTGTTTTTAAGAGTTTATGTATTTATTTGTCAGAGAGAGAGAATAAACAGTGGGGAGGGGCAGAGGGAGAGAGAGAGAGAAGCAGTCTCCCCGCTGAGCACAAAGCCTGACATAGGACTCAATCCCAGGACCCCGGGATCATGACCTGAGCCAAAAGTAGATGCTTAACCAACTGAGCCACCCACCCTCCCCTTCCTTTTTTTTTTTTTTAAAGAAACTGCCAACTGTTTCCCAGAGTGCTATACCACTTTATATTCACACTAGCACTGTATGTATGTGAGATCCAATCTCTCTGCATCCTTGTCAGCATTTGGTATAGTCATTACTTTTAGTTTTACTGTTCCAAAGATGTGTATCTCATCACAGTCTTCATCTGCATTTCCCTAATGGTTAGTGATGTTGGAAATCTTTATGTGTGTTTACCCGCCTTCCATTTATCCTTCTCAGTGAAATGTTTGTTCATATTTTTTACTCCATTTTCTAACTAGATTAATTTGAATTTCTACTGTTGAGTTTTGACAAAATCTTTATATATTCAAAATATGAGTCCTTTGTCACATATATGGTTTGTAATACTTCCTCCAGTTTATAGCATATCTTTCTATCCTCAAAAGAGGGACTTTCACAGACCAAAATCTCTTAATTTTAATTAAGTCTAATTTATTGATATTTTCTTTTAGGGATCATGCTCTTGGTAACATATCTAAAAACTAATAAGCTTATTATCACCTGTTTTTTTTTTTGGCTAAGATATAAATACCTTAAGATTTATATTTAGAAAAATAATATCCATTTCCATTTTTAATTATACAAAAGTTTGTAACAAATTAGTACTTAAAAATTATTTAATTATTTAAAAATTATGAAAAAGTTGAGTATTTCCAGTGTATATTTCAAAGAAAAACATTTTCTAAGGATTCAAATTAAATCACTGCCCATGAAATTTAAGTTATGAAGCATAAGATAAAATTAAAAACATAGCTTATAATTAAGCAACACTGTGTCATGTACCTTTGGGGTCTTGCCATCTGTATTTGAATGTATTCGTACCATTTCTTTTCCTTGCATTTGGCTGTCTTCTGTTTGGTCACTTTCTTTCTGGTCTCTTCCATCTTCTATAGGACTTATTTTCTGGGATGTTTCTACAATAATTGTTCCTAAATCTTGAGAGGTCTGTGCTTCAGAATCACTGCTTTTGAAAAAAAATGGGGGAACATAAAATCCAGGAAGAAGAGTTGTTAAATGTACCTCGTTTAAGTTCAAGACCAAATACTATTATAGCACACATAGCATGTAAGCTACAAGTTTAATTTGAGCATTTTCTGGTTTTCTATGTTAGGAAAATTAGTCTAAACATGTTGTAAAGTCTCTTATTTCTGTGGATTCCGTACACGGCCTCCAACTTCTTAAGATGAATAAATAAGTACAAGTAGGACTTCTTTAACCTGATGGGGCATCTACATTGGTGACTGAAATTTGAATGTCACTTAAATGGAGACCCATTATTGCAGTAAAATTAGCAGACTCAGCAAGCAAGCACTGGCCTGGGACTTGAGTGCTGGCTATATGGCTCTTTCACTTACTTACTGTCTCTGGACCATGTTTCTCCATCTGATAAATATTATATTGTATCAGTGGGTCCTGATTTTTTTCACAATTATTTCACAACCAAATATCCTCCTTATTATAATTCCCTTATGTACACCATATTTGAAAAGTGTATCTATCAAAGAAAAAGAGTATGCTTATTGAAAAACAGTTCAATGTCATAGTTACTTGTCACCCAAATGAAAAGAAACTACATGTTAAAAAAAATGTTTCCCTTGGGGCGCCTGGGTGGCTCAGTTGGTTAAACCGCTGCCTTCAGCTCAGGTCATGATCCCAGGGTCCTGGGATCGAGCCCCACATCGGGGTCCCTGCTCATGCAGGAAACCTGCTTCTCCCTCTGCCTGCCGCTCCCCCTGCTTGTGCTCTCTCCCTCTCTCTCTCTCTCTCGCTCTCTCTGTGTGTCAAATAAATAAATAAAATCTTTAAAAAAAAAAAGTTTCCCAAAATTGTAAAAATCTCATCAAGAAATTAGAATATCTAGTATCAAATGCCTAGTAGTACCACTTCCGTAGTACTTCTACTAAGTGTTAACTCAGGAAGCACATGTTTTAACAATGCCAGGGGTAGAGCACTTATGACTTTCTGAGCCAGGGCAGAAAGTTTTAGTATTTCCAACAGAAACGTTTTCCCTTAGTCTTGGACAATCCCTGAGTCTCTGAGGCTTTCACCCATTGATCCCAGTTCCATCTCTTTTGTCCATTTATCATTCAATAAAATGCCTGGTAAGTACCAATTATATGCCAGGCACTTTTCCATGCACAAAGGACAAAGTAGTAAGTGAATAAAGGAGATAAAAATCCCTGCCCTTATGTAGCTGTCATCCTAATGGGGTGGGTTCAGATAACAAGAAAAATAAGAAAAATCTATATTATGTTAACAGTTGGTGCTAATGGAAGGAAAATAAAAGTGTTGAGGTTGAGTAGAACATACAAATAAGCCCAATCCCTTTTCCATATGGATGATCTCTTAACTATTTGGATATGATCATTTGATGCTTGAAACATCTCAAGAAAAACATCCCTCGCTTATTCAAATATTCCTATTATGTGTGTTTTTTTTTAATAAAGATTTTATTTATTTATTTGAGAGATAGAGAGCACGAGAGGGACGAGGGTGAGAGGGAGAAGCAGACTCCCTGTTGAGCAGGTAGCCCGATGTGGGACTCGATCCCAGGACTCCAGGATCATGACCTGAGCCGAAGGCAGTCGCTTAACCAACTGAGCCACCCAGGCGCCCTCTATTATGTGTGTTTTTGAGATGCTTTTCTACCCTGGTCACTCTTGAATATGCTCCACCTTAACTTCATGGAGCATTATGTCCAGAATTCAATTTCATATTCCAAGTATACTATGTGAATTGCTTAGTTGAACTCCTGGTAGATGCAGACTAAAATAATGCAAGCTTTTCTGACACGTATATTGTACTGTAGACTCATACGAGATTTAATTAAAACCTCCTACAATATTTTTATGTATACTCTTGCGAAGTCCTGTATTTTTCCCATTGTATCGTCGAGCAATTGGCATTTTCCAGCTAAGTAACACACCCTATAGTCTTCCGCATAACTCTATCTTCCCAACCTACTGCTATCTTTGGGGATTTTTATTCAGTTTTGTAAAGTATTTTCTGTACCTTTCAATGTCATGTTATTCACAGATTTGATAAACATGCTTTGCTGAAATTCTGCTTTTCTTTTTCAAGGTATTAACAACTCTTCCTGATGATCACCCATCACTGAATGGGCACTGATAAAAGTTATTTATATATCAGGACCCACAGAACGCAGGCTGCGCCAGTGGCCTGGCCCATATCAGAAACCTGAATTAAGTCTGCTGCCTTTATGGTAAATACCTCACCATCAAGGAAACCTAATATACACCAATCACAGTCCTCCAACACAGCTTTAGCTAACTCACCTTACCCTAGAGAACAGGACATATCGGCCTTACCAAAAAATCGCTGACCTCCTAGCTAACCATGCCCTGTTTTCTGCAGTGCTTCTTCTTCTTTTTTAAAATCATTGTATTTATTTATTTGAGGGAGAAGCAGGCTCCCCACTAAGCAGGGAGCCTGACATGGGACTAGATCCCAGGACTCCAGGATCATGACCTGAGCTGAAGGCAGATGCTTAACCAACTGAGCCACCCAGGCGCCCCTGTGCTACTTCTATAAAACTCCCTCTTGCCCAAAATCCTTAGGAAGAGTGAGCCACAGCTTGCTAGGCACTGTACTCCCCCAGTCCATGGACTGTTTTCCCTTGAATAAAGGACTTCAAACTTGTTACTAAATTGTATTATTTTTGTCATTTGACAGCATGTTTTTATAATGCTGTTCAACTATGAGAAATAAACATTCATAACTATATAAATAAATATTAATAAGCAGATAACTATATAATATAGTATTTTATATACATACATATAAAGGACAAAGTTCTATTTTTCTCAGTATTGAAGTAAATTTTCTTATATTTCAGACTATGAAAAGCTAAAAGAAATAGAATGTTGTAAAATCCTGAAGCTCCACTGTGGGATTTCTAATTGTTTGAGAATTTTTTGCAGCTGAGTGATTCCTGAGCATGTTCTGTCAGGCAGGAAATGTAACACTTAATCCTCACAGTGTAAAATCGAGTTTTACCGCTAAGCAACTTAAATGACAATCTTATGTTTTAAGAGATACTGTGATACATCTCCCAAAATATGTGACCATCTGCACATGCACTAATATGATGAAATTAGAACTGACTGTGTTACTCAGCTTTCATGTATTTATTCATATATACATACTCACACATGAGTAAACACCACCACTTCTATTATGAAGAGTGTGGTAGAATCACTGGCTGAGATATAATTAGTAGCTGAAACTAGAATTTCCTTGAAGACATAGATAAATACTTAGTGGGTTTTAAGCTGAGGAGGATTTTATCTCTAATGGGTTTTGAGAACAAGGAAGAAAACCTTAGAAGTAAAAAAGAAATGGAAATGCAGATTTGGTCCTTCTTCTTCACCTTCATCAATTTGTATTTAAGTTGTTGTTGTTTGTTTGTTTTAATTTTATTTATTTGCAGAGAGAGAGAGCACAAGTAGGGGGGGGTGGCAGGCAGAGGGAGAGGAAGAAGCACACTCCCAGCTGAGCAGGGAGCCAGATGCAGGACTTGATCCCAGGACCCCGGGATCATGACCTGAGCTGAAGGCACACACTTAACTGACTGAGCCACCCAGGTGCCCGGTTTTTAAGTTTTTATTACCTGCCTGAAGACAAGGGGCTTGACCCAATGATCATTTAAAACAGTGGTTCCCAAACTAGTCTACATACTGGAATCAGTTGGAGAGCTTCAAAAAATAGTGAAACTTGTATCCCACCACAGAAGTTTTGATTTAATTGTTCTGGGGTGTGGTCTGTGTAAAGGCCACTTTTAGGCACCCAACTCGAACAATGGAAAGCTGAGTAAGGTAGAAGTGCCCATTATGACCCCCTGGCTGAATACAAACAGGCCTATTAGGCGACCCACCTCAAAATATCCATATAAGCCCTAGCTGACCAGTGGATGACTTACACCCAGACACAGTATCAAAAATGTTAAATTCCATTATGTTCCCATACTTCCTCACCTTCCCCTTTAACTACAGCCCCCCACCGACTGCCTCCTGCCAGATAGTCTCTCCTCCGCAGTCCTGTCCGCAGCTCCCTCGTGATGTACCCAATAAATTTCTCTCAGGTGAATTCTTTCACCACTAGTGTCACTGGCTCCACATGGTGGCCTCCATCCAATCGGGAGATCCCACAGTCTGAGCTTTGGAATTTTTATAAAATCAAGGTAATTCTAACAGAAGCAAATAAGTTTGAGAATAACACAAAGAAGTATAACAGCTAGTCCTAAGGACTCCCTTGACAATATGAAAGAATAGAAATTATATTCAGAAGAAAAATTAGGATCCATATCTAATGTAAATTCTACCCTCTTCCACACCCACTTATCTCCAACTCCCTGTCCCTGACCCTTCAGAAGATCTTTTGGATTTCTGGGACCCTTGTTTAAACCGCCCCACCTCTCTGCAAATCTCTACAAAACCTTAAATGTGGTTCTAAAAGCAATTTAAAGCTCACCTATCTTTACCAATCTTCAGACCTCACCTATTCAATCTCAAACTGCTTGTAGATATCAGGACACTGGAAACAGAATTGTCCTGCACTTAAGAAAAAAAGGAAAAATTTAAATTACCCTGGACCTCTAATAATAGGCAAATATGCCTCCAAAACTCCATCTTGAAGAAAGCTTATTTTTTCTATGCCTTTGTGATATAAGTTTTCTTGCCCCCATCTTTTGTAGGACCTAAGAGACATTCTTTAAAATGCAAACTTTGGGGAGAAATTTCTCATCAAAAAAGAAAAGAGGGGTGGATATTCGGAAAATTGGGCAAATGAAAAACTAAAGATCCAAGGGGTACCTAAAACAAAAGTTATTAAGGCTGACATGACTCCTATTGCTCCCCTCTATCATTCTTTACCTGAATGCCCACGTTTTACTAAATCTCTGCCTGAATTGCCTTTCCAGTCTGAAGAGATTATTACCTTTTAAAA